GTGGCGGAAGTGACTTGTGCATGAGTGGCTGGCGGAAGTGACGGGTGGTGGTGGTGGTGGTGTGTGTGGTCGCCTTAGGACGACCGGGTGAACGTGTGGTGGTGGATGTGACCTGTGTGCGGGTGGTTGGTGGCGGTCGGGGCGGTGCGTGTGGTGAGTAGGTCGTGGCGCGGGCGTGGGCGGTGGCGGTTGGCGGTGGCGGTGGCGGGTGGCGGTGCGGTGGCGGTGGCGGTGGCGTTGGCGGTGACGGTGCGGTGACGGTGGCGGTTGGACGGTGGCGCTGACGGTGGCGGTGACGGTGGCTGGCTGACGGTGGCGGCTGACGGTGCGCCCGGTGGTGGTGGTGCTGTGGCAGCGTTGAAACCAACATTGCCGTAAAATTGGCGGCGGTTGTAAGCGTAGTGGCGAGCCCGACCCTGCACGGAAGCGAGGTGGGGCGAGCACGCAAGCCCTGTTCCACACACAGAGCCGCATTCTTCTGATGTACACGACAAAAATGTGAGATTAGAATCGCCGGGGCCGAGCGGCTTCACAGTGGTCTTCGCGCCAGCTCTGCATGCGTGGGGTGCCGAAGTCCTATTCTTTGACGTTTCGAGTGCAATTTGCAAATATTAAATAAATAGTAAAAGTCGATTCACAATTTCATGCACCATTTCAATTTTCCTAAATATATTTCTTAGTTGCATTCATCCTTTCACCTGATTATATCGTTCTCATTTTATATCATGAGCACGAGCTCGTTTAATTGTGTAGAATGTGCCGAAAAGACCACCTTTCGCAAAACATGACGCGGAGCAGTTCTCGCGACTAGAAATTTCTTTAGCGTCAATTCCGCGGCTGAAGTCCACGCTTCGTTTATTTACTAATCGATATTCTATATTTATTATCCTTCTGCGCAGTAACTCGCATGCGACGCGTGTACTTTGTATATTGCTTTTCAATCAGATCTGAAAAAGAAGTACTAGAAAATAACCACAGAAGAAAAGAACCACTTGAACGTGAATTCTAAGGGGCATAATCGAAAGTTCGGGTGGCAAACAGACGCACTCAAGAAGATTAAATTTACAGTTACTTATTTAATCTTAATCAAATGTTGTACAAGACTTGTTGACGTATATAATTGTGTAAAATATATTACAGGAGACTGAACTAGTATATTGTAATGTTTTCAAGTCAGTTTCTGTCGAAAAATTTACGAATGATTCGTTGTTACTGGCGAGAACGAATAACATGCAACAAATAATGTGAACGTTAATTCACTGATTTGTTGTTTGGCAGAGGATTAAAATTATGCGTTCAGTATTGTTGTCAGCCCAGTGTGAATTATGAGCTCAAATGAGGTCTCGGGCAAAAGCATGCTTGGAACGTGTCACTCACTCAGGCACTTTTCTATCCCAATTAACAACGCGACCGAAGCACAAAAGCTGACGCAATCCATCTAAATCTCACAAGTGCGCAAAATGCAGCGGCGGAGAAAACATCCGAGGCCCGCACCGCCGCCGCTTGCGTTCACACGCGATCCTTTTACCTGCACCGGCTTCCTTCCCAGGGATCGAAGTGACGTCACGCAAACGCTTCACTTACTCGCGGGTACGTCGCCTTGCGATTCCATCGCAGCCCAACACGCAAGTTAAGCGCACATTTCATTTCTCGTATTTTCTCAGTGCGGAGAGCAACGCTCCAATGTTTTTACACGTGGCTGCAGTTTTAGACAATGTATTTTTCTGTTCTTGCAAATCATTATGATCTCGACATTTGACAATAAAATTCTCTAATATTGTTAAGAAATCAATATAATACACCAAGAAAGTAAGAAGTAATTAGTGGCACGTACGTTGCGCAAAATCATTGACTTTCGCATAAGACTTGGACTAAATCGGGGGAGATTGATTGACGTTTCCGGACACATCAATTGCTATGGTCATTGGTTCCGGTAAGTTTATGAATTTTTTCACGCCTGGAGGTGGAAGTGTATCTCTGCCGGCTGGATGACAAGATACTGACATGTGTAGTAGTGTATTTGTGTGTATGTGTGTGTGTGTGTGTGAGAGAGAGTGAGAGAGAGGTAGGGATAGGACAAAGAAGATGAAGGAAAGATAGCGCGGTCCGTGGCTTATTTGTTAGGGGACGGCTCCAGAATTCGCCTGGTACTGTCAGGAGAAACCACAGAAAACTACAGAGTAGTGGCAGCCGGGCGACAGCTATCTAGCTAGTGTCGAAAATCCACAACCGTCTGGACACGAACCCTAGGACCTTTCGGTTGGAGTCGCTGCAGATCTGCAAAGCGGTAAAGGTGGCTCTGAGCTAAACGCAGCCGGTAAATCGGCGTCGAGAAATTCTATCTAAAGCTCAATACAATTTAATCACTGAAGAAAAGGGAGGCGTTTCATATTGATTTTATTTATAATAATTTAATAAATAAATATTTATTTATTATTTTTATTATTTTCTTTCTTTATTTTTTTTAATTGTCTTATTTTTGTACTATTTAAAAGACAGATGGAGCTAGACAGAAATAAAGAATTTGAAAAATCACATTTTCTCATGTGATCACTTAAGTCAGAAACAAACACGATCTTAACACTATTTCAGAATAAAAAACGAATTGGCTTGGATATCGTGTACATATCTAAGGTAATGGATGCATGAAGAAAATGGAGGATAGTGAAATAGCTCTATCCCACGAGACAACGTAGATTGTTTTTGTAATCCCTATACAGTATAAGAGTAAAACTCTAAATGAGTGCGGACGTACGTTTGTGTGGTACCGTCACTCGCGGCTAGACCACTTCCCCTGCACAAATTGAGACGTATGAGGTGTCATTCGACGCGTCTCTGTCACCTGATGGGGAACTGATAATTTGTACAAAGGCATTTCTCACTCAATACGCCAGAATTTTCTTTCACGACGTTGGCAACTGGCAACATAGATGTTGATATCTTCAAGTGAACAATTTAATTATCAAGTAAATCGAGTTGCAAATTGATTGCAATTTAGATTCGATTTATTATCGTATTTTTAAAAAAAAAATTCCGAAAACCCACGAATAGTATTGCTTCGAAACTTGTTAAACTTTAAGAATTTCCAGTGAATACAGAGAAAACAAAATTGTGACTACTGCTAGAGAATGAAGGAACGTTCGACTTGGCACTTTTACGTTCTTAGATAAGTGTGAAAATACAGTTTTTTACATGGATATAACCCACAACTTATTCTTTTAGACTTCACTAACGCTTTATTCACATAAACATCCAAATAGTTACCTTTTAATGTTAGATTCGCATACAAAACAATTAATAGAGCCATTGCAGAAGTAGAAGTGAACACAAATTAGACTGAGTTTGTGAAGTTTCCATCGCTTCAAAAATTAGGGGAGAAACGTATGGAAGTTTTAAGGAAATTCGGGGAAGAACCAAATGTAGTTGTAAAAGATGGTGTGATAAAATTTTCGGAACTAATTGGGAATGATCTGCAGTTTTGCATTTGTGTTAATGCAAATGTGCTAGGCGTATTTTTGTGCATATTGCCAAAAAAGTGTAAAAATGTAGCTGTACTAAAATTAACTATTAGCATCAAACCCTGCAAGTATTTGTTACGACTATTATAATTTTGAAATTTCAAAAAGACCAGTTCATATCATGTATGGAGTTAACATACAAGGCCATTGGGTGTTGGGAACTTTTCAACGGGAGTATAACGTTATCAGTACTACGATTCATTGGTAAGTACAAATGACACATACTGAAAGAACATATTTAAACAAAACTGGGCATGGAAGAAATGAAGTATGAAAGACATTTTCAACACATGAAACCTTTTTAAAACAGTAAATAGCGTCGGCGACCTCCGCGAAAATAGATAGTTTACCTCTAGTAATAACTCTGCTGCATTTTACTAGTAATTAAATATTTTATTAATAAGTTTAATATAAACGCTTCGCAACAAATGACATTTACCTACGTTAATTAAACATGAATTAAAATAAATAGGCGAGTAAAACGCTATTATTTTTCATATTTGATTTCTACGCTAGTTCAACTTAGGCGGTTATGTTCTTTTTCTAGCGTTGTTTACGGCACGAAGATTAGCACGCGAATAAAACACGTTAATCATTTTAAACAGTCCATTTAATGTAGAGTTTACGCACGGAGTGTTCTCTCGCGCATTTAGTTTTCCAAGGGCTTCCGGTGCCCCGTTCGTTCCGGGGCTGCCCGCGTCGGAAAGGCCGGGTCGGCGGGCGGCCCCGCTCGGCGCCCTGCGGGGCTGCTACACATCATCGCGCACTCACGCGCAGGACCCTCCAACCGGCAACGAAAAAATAACGAGATCCCGGAGGAGAAACAGAGCGCGCTTTCAATTTCAGCGGCTCCTGGCGGCGAAGACCTCACGCGAGACGGCGGGGGCCGCATTAATCGCCCTTTCCGCGCTATGGGCTACCGCTCTTGGCGGGCCACCAGGCCCGCCACACCCTCCCTCATTCAACGCTCGCCCGCCACAGCACTCATTCGTCGTCGCCTCCGCCATTCCAACTTTGCTGCCTACACCACGCGCCTTTGCCTTCTGAAAACTTCTAACGCACAACAGAAGGAACATCTGAAGAAATAGTCGCCCGAGAGAAGATAAAAATGAATGACCACACATTTTATTTCATACGTTATATTTTCATTTTATTATACATACATTAAAATTACGCAACTAAGGAAGTATAAATGCCATCCTTTGGAATAGGAACGAATGACTATATTAAAAAACAGCAAGTCTCAGTACATATTCCAATAACATCACCACCACGATCAGTAAAGTGTGTACCAAAAACTAACTTCACGTTGTAGAAGACAGTTTCGAACACGGAATATTTGAATTCAAAATCTTCAATACATTGTCTTTCTTTTCTTTCAACCTTGATTTTTTAAAAATATTTTTGAACATTTAAATCTCACAACTGCCAATGTTTTGTTAATCGCAATTATCAAAAACGTTAGTTGAACAGATAGTTGCTCCGGGATGCAAGACTGCTATTTTTGTGGTTTGCGACGTGTTTCGCTGCGATCCCCGGAGCCCATGCCGAGACGACCCTTCTCCGCTCGCGCACGGTACAGAAAGGAGCTGGCTCCTTGGGAGGCGTCCAAGAGCCTCGCGGCCTCGCGCTGCTTCCGGGACCCGCGCCGCGCCGGCCCAGCTACGTGCCACGTGCCACCGCAGCCCTGGCCCAGGGCGCGGCAGTAAGAAGGCCACGGTGGAACCACCAACTGCCGCCCCTTACTTAGCCTGAAAATTCACTTTATCAACAATCCTCAGCTCTCGGTCTCTATGTTTGCTCAGGAATTGCAGAAGTTTTTAATTGAACACACGTTTGAATTCAAAGTACTAACACATTACCATATAATTTATTTGCCGGGAAAGCTTCAGCCAATGTTTGGGTTGATCCTGGTCCTAATGTAATCATCCTTATTTGCACGCCAATTAAATACCAATACTTCACTTGACGAGTTTTCTAAAATGCTTCCTCGGTACGGTCTTCCGCTTAAGGCCAAGAATATCGCTGTTTGTCTGAATGTGCAATCAATCTAGCAGACCTAGAATGAAATACGTTTTGCATGCCTACACAATGTGTGTATTATTAACATGTTTTAAAAATAAAAACGGAATAAACAAATGGATGAAACATATTAGTTTTTAAATAGAACTATTGTAACATGGAATGGCTTTCCTGCAGCACTAATGACGTCTTCCCCCCCATACGCCGTCAATTGTTTCACGGAAATATTGGCTTCTACCGATGTGGCAAGTTCAATAACCTGTGATAGGCTTCTGCATTTTGAAGGCAGGGCCAATTTGAACATACATTCGGCAGTGTGCAAGTAGTGGTTTATGTAAAATGTAAACATAGTTAATTACACATCAATTCGCATGTTCATGGGCACGTTTCTAGAATTTACAACCGGGTGCCATGACCAAAGTAAATAAATTGGTCTCCGTCTTACGGAAGCCCAGTTGGAAATTACAGCCGCGGAGAGACCAAATTTCGCTGGGGCGATGGGGGCGCCCTTGACCGGCAGCGGCGGCGGCGGCGGCGACGGCGTTCGCGTCCGACGCAATCGATGGCGCCGCGGTGCCCACCGCCGCGTGTGCCCCACGGGTCACGCTCCCCGGCCGCTGCCCTCAGCCCCTGCCCCCTTACGCAGCGTCCGCAAACGCACTGCTTTGGCGAGCGTCGCAAATGGGGGCGTATGATGAGCGAGGGTTCAGTATTTTCTATGGGCATTATTCCCTTAAGTGCAGTGCATTTTATATCGCTGGGGTGGAGGTGTTCTTTCTCTATCGGAAAGCGAGATCCGGCGCCGATCTACACAAGGACTTGCGGAGTTTTCCCGTCCTGGGATTTCAACCACATACTCTAAGCTCCCTATATGAATGGTTGTGTAATGCGTTCGTAAATGTATTAGTTCGTATATATTATGTGTGTTTGTGTGTGTGTGTGTGTGTGTGTATGTATGTGCGTGCGCGCGCAAGTGTGTACAGGAACAAGGGACGAGGATGATGGAAATATCGAGTGTGGTCCGTTTGCTACACTTTTCCTCTGACATTTGCGTAGCATTGACAGGAGAAACCACGGAAAACTACCGGTCAGAGCAGCCGACCGCTAGAATTCTTCTCTACCAGCTACGTAGTGTCAAAAATTCGCTGTCGACAGGACTTGAACCGCAGCTCAACACATGCTTTCAATGAAGAACATCGATAATTCTCTCGCAAAAGAAGTAGAAGAACACAACTGGAACCGAAGGAAGAAATCATTTGGACAGCTAACGTCAAATGACGTATTAGATTTTCCAGAAATGACAGAAAAAGATTTTAAAATTCTTTTTACTGGCTCATATCAACTGTCGCAAGCAGTGTCATATTTGGCGGAACTTTACACAGAAGATGGCGAGATTCGGGTCAATCATTTTAGTAGAAGTCAAGACGACATTAAAATTCGAAGTTAGGTCCAAACACACAAACCGTAAAGTGTATAAGTGTTACCTTCAGTACAAACCGAATTCAATCGGATATATGGGAGTGCTACGTTATGTCTGCGATTGTGCGAATGGATTAAGAACCGTTGGATGCTGTTCACATGTAGCAACGATAATTTATTTCTTAAGCTATGCGAGATACTTATCACGAATCAATTGCCCTGCGGACTTACAAATTGTCTGTTGAAATTTCCTCATATTAACGAGGATAGCGTGACGATTAGGTTAAAATATTATGATGCAAGATTTCTAATTGTTAATGCATTGTATATTTAAATGTACTTTAAAAATATGTAAACAAATACGTAAAAATAAGATAAAACTAATATAATTTATATTTTACATATCCATTTTCATGTTAGAAGTACAGTGCACAAATATAATGAGTGAAAAATTCAAGATTTCTAGTTATAATCATTGTATATTTAAAAGTGCTATAAAGACAGGTTTACTTAAAATAGATTTTCGGCTGAACAGGAGAAGATATTTAGATGATTTTTGGCGCAAAAAAAGCAAATTAAATTCTCTAAATTTTGTATTTAGGTCATTTATACGGTTCAAAAAAAAGTAGAAAAACCATCATATTTTGTGCGAAAAAAATGTAATTTGTTTGTGTTTTTTTTAATAAGAAAAGACTTTTGAGTATGATAATCACTTTGAAAACTTCTGAAAAAAAAATAGAATTTACGTAATCGTATATAGAAACGCGTTATAGTACGAGAATTTAAGTTTAAGTTATTTAAGTAAAAAAAAAGTGTTTTCCATAAACATGTGAAAAAATCAGTTTTTAAAAAAAATATGACTTTTAATGGTGCATAAATGACCTTGAAAATGCGCTCAGTCAAGTTTTTTTATCACCTCGAGACGGTCTGATACAGTGGTTACCCCGGCTACCCCGAGGGCCGCCACTCCATTCTTATCCTGCTGCCCCCTTTCTTGTCCGATGAAACTAACTCCCCTGTACTAGAAAGGAGGGAATAATTTGCTATTGTAATAAAACATTAATTAATGCTGTTCTACGCATGATAATCAATAGACAAGAATGACCAATTACAGCAATGAGGAGAATCAAAGAGAGGGGAGATAACAAAAGGTACACCCAAAAACGAAGGGGAGAGAAGGAAACGTGAAGAAATATGGGAAAATAAGAAATTAATAGGAAAAAAAAGAGATAAAAAATGATATACGACAGGAAACCGCAAAAAAGGAGAATAGATAAAACAAAGGACGAACGTGATAAAAAAGGTGAATTAAAAGAGAAAGAGAAAAAAGAGGACAAGATAAGCCAGGGAACCGAAAGAAAGAAAAAGTAACAAACGAAAAAAAAGCAGAGAATCGAATCCAAAATATTATGAAAAAATTAAAGAACGATAAAAAATCAATCTATGCGGCACCTACGTGCCCGACCGCAAGTCGCGAATCGCTTTCCCCGTTGCGATGCACGAGTGGATGAGTGATGACGCTACCTTGGAACGACGGCACGGAAAAAGCGGGAGTACCCTTGGCACAACCGCCGCCGCCGCGACCCCGCAGTCGCGCACAAATTCCGCTCGCCCCGCCGCGCGCCGAGCGTCGGGCAGTGTGCCAGGCGTAGCGGGGCCGCTTCCAGGGCGGAGCACCGCGCCCCTTGGCAGGCACTCGCGGCCGCGGCCACCTACCCATCCTTCCTTCATGCTAATTGCACACACACACACACACACACACACACACACACACACACACACACACACACACACACACACACACTCTCTTTCAATGAGCGTTTCTGCACCGGGCTGGTGTACCGGACATCACCCACCACAAGTATTCCCTTCTAAGAGTTCTTTGATGAAACAAAACACATGTCAGCAGAATACTTCTTACGACGAATTAATTGGAATTTTTCTTCGTAATTTTTACGTAAAGAAACTTTTTTGGCCTAAGTACATTATTTTAAATAATGCATTTGTTTCATTTATACTTGTGCTTACTTATCACAGAAAGTAAATTTGAAAATCGGTGGGGGAGAAGCGATTGAAGAACAGCGAAATTCCTTTGTAAACGAGAAATTTCAATAATGTTTTGTGATATCAGGCGTATCAACGAAAGTCTTCGGCAACATAAACAAAAACATGAACTTAACAGCCTATCAACGCAAGGGGCCATACAATACGAAAACGGATATGAAAAGGCGTGGAAAGACACAAAAATAAAATGCATAGAAAGCTATTATGCTGTAATTTACCATTTGTATATCTATAGTGTTGTTCTTAAATTTATATGTTTTACAATCACCGCTGAGGGTAGAATAAAACTATTCCGAAACGTCGGCAAACCATGTTTTAATGTCTTATTTCACTCCGACCAAATTTCGTGATCTACATTACAGATTTCTACTTCAGGGTCGTGAATTTACAATGGTTTAAAAAAGTAAAACAATAAAATCTAATTACCTAGACAACATTCGTTCGTTATTCCGCAAAATATAAATGAAAAGTAATCCGTCTTACGAGACGTCGACTTTGAAGCACATTCCCCGAGAGCTCTAAGTTTATTGCTCTAACCCACACCGAAGGAAGGAGGGCTACAGGGCAAAGACGAGCGACGGGGGCTGGGGAACGAAGGACGATGGCCCGTGACGACGGCCTCAAAAGTGAAGCGGACGGAAAGACGGGCAAGGGAGGCGGAGGGGGGGGGGGAGCCGAGGGGTCCGCGACCCCATCCAAGGACGCCGCCGCCACCGATGCAGAAACTGCGCCGCCGCCGCCAAGAGGAATGATAATGGAGCTACAAGATACTGTTATCACTGTATAGTACTCTTATGCTAGAATTCTTTAACAATAATGGCAGTGGTTGGAGGAAACCAAATATTTTTATTTTATCTATAAAACTTAAATAATTTCATTGCGCCCTTACTAAACGTTTACTTCCTTCATTTTATTACAATACGTATGGGGAGAATTACTTTAATAAGTTGCTGTTAAATTATTGTTCAAAAGTATTGGAACTTTCTTTTGAATGCAGATCTAGATGCTATCATGAAGTTGCAATATTACGTGTATTGTTTACAAATAGTTTCGGCGTAAATAATTTAAACTCAATAGTGTAGATATGAGTTGTTTAATATTATTGTAATATATATTTATATATTGATCGTGTGTGAGAAAATTAATTATTGGTATTAATATTTTTAATATGTTTTTGATTTGTAAAACATTACTGAAGCAATGAATGTAACCCCTAGCACCCAAAACTTGACTACTTCATGCTTCTTATGTAGAAATTTATTTATCTATTTCATTGAACAATTAGCCTTTCTTATGAGCACATTGTCCTAGGGCAAGAATACTACGTCTCAAATTAGCTTTAACTCTTGAAATGTATTAATTCCGTCAAATTATTATAATTAGAATCTTTTGGAAAGGTATTATGGATTCAAACTGTTGGTATGTTTCAGAAGTGACATTGTTGATCAACGGAAAGTAATTTTGGTAAAATAATGGTATTATGTTTACTACTTTTCTTTATTTTATTTTTGAAAGTAATAAAAGGTTAAACTTTAAGAACAACTATTTTTATCGTTTCCGCATTTTATTATTAATGTGAAGCTTTCAAAATTATTTCAAATTTACTTAAAATTGAGAAATTATTTCTTTGTTATATCTCTTATCCCCGCGGCGGCGGGGGCGGCGGCTGCGGCGGTAGTGGTGGTTGTAGTTGTAGTGGTAGTGGGTGGGGGAGAAGGTGGCGATCGTGGGTGACGTGAACAGAAGCGACTGAACCGGTGTCGAAAGCGAATGTGGTGGTGGAGGCGGTAGATAAACGCTGCGAGTGCGCCGACTAAACGAACTGAACAGGTGAAGTCAGTGTCGTCAATTGGCGGAAATGGATGACAGAAACTCTTCCAGAACGGCTCGTCAATTGTTATTGGTATAAACATTTTCCACGAATATTAGAAGCTGATTTTCAATGAACTTCTAAGATACATTTGCACTTTGTATAAAAGAATTTACATGTTTCGAAGGCATGAATCTTTTTAATGAAATAGAAAATAGAAAACATGAAGGGAAAATGTAATTTCCTGAGAAGACGAAGGTTTTATAACAGTCTGGACATCTTACACTAAAATTACAATTTGATTATTCACTATTTGTAGAAACAAGACAATACATTCCACATCTAAATTTTGTTCACATAACAAAAACATTTCTTGGGGATGTGATATCTACACTACGGAATGTAATTACGAGACGTCCACGGGTGGTGAGGCAAAAAAGAAAATGCAATCCATTCCATTTAAAAGACATCAATATAGCTTATGAAATAGTGATCAAGGGCGCCTTTGACAAAACTCTACTTGTTAAAATATCGCGGCCTCATAATGTAACTGTACGCTGAAGTGGTCTTGAGCGTACCAAGAAAGAACGAGTATTCTTTAAAGGCGCGTCAACTATTTAGGTCATTAGACCCGCAAGTGTAGTGCTTATTTCATTCTGTGACGTGGCAGAGATCCCCCAGCTGGAACGTGACGTCCTGCACCGATGTACAAATCCGGGATTTTCCCCCCACCATGCATCTCCCCGACGGGGAACCTCCCCATACAGGACAAGAACTGAGCTTCTGGCTCCCGTCATGTGTGAAGCAGTGCATATAAGAATGTGTGCGGTTTAAAAGAAGGGACAAATATCCGTGGCCCTTTTGTTAGGATACTGGTGCTTCGCCTAGTATTCAACGGAGAAACAAGTGAAAACTATTGTGTACAGCAGTCAGCTGCGAGAATTCTTCTCCAAACAGTGTGAATTCGTACCAGCCACATAGTGTCGAAACGTCGCCGCTGACTGGACTCGAACCTCCCGGTCAACGACACAGCTGAAGCAACCGTGTTGCCTCAGAGCCACCACAGCCCGTTTAGGAGTATTAAACCGCTTCAAAGGAGTTCGCTGTGCTTCTTCCACCGTATGACGTCAGAACAATACACTTTTGCGAGAAGCACGAAGCCGCAGGACAGACATATACCATCGTACATTTACACTAAACGGACTTCCTAATAAACTGCTGGGGACCCGAAAGAAACATTTCGTTTAACTCAGTTTTTTTAATGTAAGAGGCTGAATTGTAAGCCACAAAAAAACCTTAATTTTAAATTCAAGGAGAATTGCCAAAATACCATTTTAGACACTGTGATATATGATACAACACTAAACAGAAAAAACACGGATTTGGCTCAAATGGATAAAAACAGATTGGATGTCAATACCCCATTCTATTTTATGATCCTCTTCCGTAATGCAAACAACGAAGAGCTTCTTTATGTACTCGTATAACAACAGCCAGCACTAAATACGGCCTTGGAAGTTTAACATGAGAGAGAAACGGCGGACCGACGAGAACATCACGTGACGTGCACTTCCGCTCCGTCACTTCCACGCCCTTTGTCGCGTGCTTCCATTCAGGAGAGACATGCTGCTGACAAGGGCATTTGCGTCACTTCTGCTTGTCATCAGCAGAAAAATCCTAAATGACATCAAGTTGTCCACATCTCACACATCATACATTACATTACTTCCGCCGAATCCTGTAAAGCCCAACAATTACACGAAAAAGTAAGGACGTTTTTCGACAATCAATACTTACCTTATTTGGGAAAGTTTTAATATTCATATGTGCGATTTTATGACAAAGCATTTTTTTTTCGAAAAGAAACACGTACATTGACAATTAACCATACTATTGACTTATCACTATCCTTCGCACATTGTATAAATATATTAGATTCATTATTTCATGAAGGCATTTGTATGCGTTCACGTCAAAATTTAAAAATAATGATTTACAGACCGCAGTCCAAGTTGCATAAAAACAAGACTCTCTCAGGCTGCCTCCCACTCTCTCAGATCCATTCCAGTTTTTCTAAGAAAACCTCCTAATACTAATAGTATTACGACGAGTGCATCGCACACTTTCATACAGCATCACAACACTTTCAATCCGACTTGTGGAATTGCGGATGAAAAAATTACATACATCCAATTATTTAAATAAATCGTTATAAAAACAACACATATTTGGTTCAGAAACCTATAGATGATATTTAGCAATAAATACTTATTAAAATTACCAATATTGGCAATCGCTTAAACGTTTCTCTACCTGCGGGAAACCATGCATCAAACGAGGGATTTAATTTCCACGCAGTAGCTTTCTACTTTTCAACCGCCCCACCTTTCACTCTAACCAGCGCTCTCAACTGACCGAACGTCTCCGCTCTCCTCTACTGAATCTCTCGGCAGTCTTCTCGCAGTCCACGGAAGCCTTCGTCTCTTCTGTCGCTCCCCTGCACCAACCTCTTGGAAATAATAGAATACTGGTGATGTCTTTATTGCTATTGTCTGCGTAACTATTTTCTGGCAGGAATGAAAAGTATGCTGCCATCGAAAATGGTGTTAGAACAGATGAATAGAATGTACCAGGAGATAATAAGTGTGCATCGTAAGCGGAATTGCACAGAAGTGAAAGTAAAGGGACATTAAAAGACTTCAATCAAATGTCAATTGTACGTTTATAAAAAAAAAGCATGTGAAATTCACGAATAAATCCTTACAATGCAGCTGCAAAATCAGAAAAGATTACCCCATACAAAACAAATTCCCTTAAGAAATGCAAGCTGACAATGACCGGTGGGAGACTACTGAAT